CAGCATTCTTCGCCAGCACCACAACTCAAAAGCATCAACTCTTCTTCAGTCTTCCTTATTCATTGTCCAGCTCTCACATGCATATGAGGCGATTGGAAATATCATGGCTTGTGTCAGGCGCACCTTAGTCTGACTATCTCCTTGAGGTGTCTTCAGATCAGAGCCACTAGAATGATGCACACTTCACTGAATGTGGTTTCTAAGGGGAAAGAAGTCTTTCACCTTAGTTGTTGTTGTTATGTGGAGTTGGATCCGACTTATAATGACCAGTTTCTGCCTTGGGTTTCCAAGGCAGTATCACTACAGAAGTAGATTGCCCAACCTTCCTTCCGAGGAGTGGCTGGTGGGTTTGAATCACCAACCTTCTGGTTAGCAGTCAACTGTGTTAGGCACTACGCTACCAGAGCTCCTTTCACCTTAGTTGTTGTTGTTGTTGTTATGTGCCGTCGAGTCAAACCCGACTCATAGTGACCCCTCCTTGGGTTTCCGAGGCAGTATCACTAGTAGTAACCTTAAATACTTTCTATTCCTAATAGGTGAAGATCTACAAAGGGCACTGTGCAGACAAGAGATCCAACCAGCAGGGGGCAGCATTTAACTGAGAGGCAGTGTTTAAGCAGGCTTCCATAGGAAGATGCGTTGGTTTGCATTCTTCCATGCTCACTCTGGGATCTCACTTCCTCTTCAGTGAGTAACAGGAGTCTTACACGTTTGCCACTGTGATTTTAAGGACAAACTTAAAAATAAATTCCTTTGGGCATCTCAACTGACAAGTCAAGCCAAGCCAGTCAGGTTTTGTAATAGCTGTTTTGTGAAACATTGGCCAAGACTAAGTGAAAATTAATACAGATATGAACTTTACCTTAAAATAATATATAATTTTTTTTCTGCTTTTTTCTTCCCACAAAATCTAAAACTTTAGCAGTGTTTAGTATTCCAAGTACTTCTATCAGGTTTTATTTGTGTTTTCTATTGTGGTAAATAAGTAGCTCTGGAGGCACAGTGCCTAAAGCATTTGACTGCTAGCCAGAAGATTTTTGGTTCAAACCCACCAGCCACTCCTGGGTAGGAAGATTGGGCAATCTACTTCCGTAAAGATTTACTACCTCAGAAACCCGGTAGGGGTCACCAAGAGTCAGAATCGATTCAACGGCAGTGGGTTTGGTTTGGTTTTATTGTAAATATATTTGTAATAAAACACTTGTCAATTTAATATTGTTTACATCTACAAATTAGTAATATTATACTACTATCATCAGTTTTTAATTTAGTGTAGCCAACTCTTCATAATATTCTGAAGAAAGTATGTTTCCTTAGGGAAAGAGGAAAGCTAGTCCTTACACTTAAAGTCCAGTAGAGATGAAAGGATACATAGCTAAACCTCAAATACCTAGGGGGAAAAAGCAGTTATGCTAAACACAAAAAAACACTTTGGATTAAGGTTTCTGTAAGCCAGGTGGGAAGTGAAGATTCATGGAGGAAGTGACTTGAGTCTTGAAGGATGAGGAGAGTCGGGCAAAATAGAGGGAATATCATGAAACAGAGAAGTGATGAGGACGCTGGGGAGATAAGTACTCAGGTCTCTGGAAGTAGAAAAAAGCAATGACTTTGGGGTCAGGAAATGCAAGGGTCACCATTTACCCTCTCTGTTATCTTAGAAAGCTACTTAATTTCACTGGGCTTCCATTTCCTCATGTATCAAAGAGGGTAGATACACCTAAAGATTGTCAAATAAATTTGTAAAGAGATTGTCAAAGTCTGTTAGAGCCCAATACATAATAAATGTTCATAATAGCAACTGTACAGAGGACAGGAAAGGGAGAGGTGGGAGATAAAACTTGAACATAGGCCAGTGTGATATGCTACAGGGCCTTAAATCTAGGCTAGGGAGTTGAGATTTTAGGAGATAGAACCATTAAAGGCAATACATTAGGAATCCACCATTGGAAGAGCTGGCAATAGTGAATGTCAGGTGGATCAGAGAGGAGGGCTATTGGAGGAAGGAGGCCAATTAGGAGGCTGTGTTAATAATAAAATAATTCCTCACCTTGCTATAGGTACTGTGTCCTACCCTAAACCGAGTGA